TTCGTCCGTTTTTTTCAGCAATTCTGAGGAATGAAGTGGGGTGGTTTGATGAAGAGGAGAATAACTCGAGCCTGCTCGCGGCTCGTCTGGCTACCGATGCTGCAGACGTGAAATCGGCTATAGCAGAGAGGATATCTGTGATACTGCAGAACATGACTTCTCTTCTCACTTCATTCATAGTGGCCTTCATTGTGGAGTGGAGGGTTTCATTGCTCATACTTAGCACATTTCCTCTCCTTGTCTTGGCAAACTTTGCACAGGTAAAGCAAAAAGGTTCAATCTTTCAAAAAATGACAATATATTATTTATAATGATAATTATGGCAACATGGGTTCTTGAAATTATTTTGCAATTTTGCTCACCCTAGAGCAATGTCATTTGGGTAATTTCTCATAAAAGATGTTCTGATTAAATTAATTAACATGTTGTGCAAGGTGAAAAATTTTGAATCTTGGAATAAAATTACACTGCTTTTTTGGCACTAGAAGACAATAGTGTATGTACATACAGCATAGTGTACTCACCATGTGATTCCCCCTTTAAATCTGCTGCATGACTCCTTGAAATTCACACAGTTGAACTAATTATATAAAAAAAGAAACAAAAAAATATATAGCATGTATATAAATGATATATGTTACCTAAACCTTATAATATAGTATAAAAGATTCTATTCTATTATTGATCACCAACATCAAGACACTGAGAAATGTGCAGGTTTCTCACTTGGGTTGGGTAATATGAAAGATTTAAATGATATTTTTATCAAAAAAAAAAAAAAAAATTATAGTATTTTCTATATACACTGTCATTTATCAGTGCCCATCTTGTTACTATTACCACCTCAACTGTACTTGCTGTTCACCTTGCCCCTGACTCTGGTTACCTGTGAGTGTCAGTTGTGAGCCCAAATTTAATGCAGTGTTTGAATATTTATGGTCCTTATAGCTTTGATTTATTGTTTTTTACTGATAATTTTCTTGCCAGTGGTGTGCCAGAGATTCCTCATCCTGTCACACCATTTTCCATATCATAAATTCATAATCCCCAATAATCAACCCAAAAACATTTCAAGTTTAACTACAATAATTCCCCNAACTATCACTCAAGGGTTTTGCCGGCGACACGGCGAAAGCCCACGCGAAAACGAGCATGATCGCCGGCGAAGCCGTGAGCAACATCCGCACCGTCGCGGCCTTCAACTCCCAACCGAAGCTCCTCTCCCTCTTCTCCCACGAGCTCCGCCTCCCCCAACGCCGCTCCCTTAAACGGGCCCTCTCCTCGGGCCTCCTCTTCGGGCTCTCCCAGCTTGCCCTCTACTCCTCGGAGGCCCTAATCCTCTGGTACGGCTCCCGCCTCGTCCTCCACGGCCTCTCCACCTTCTCCCGCGTCATCAAAGTCTTCGTCGTCCTCGTCATCACCGCCAACTCCGTCGCCGAGACCGTCAGCCTCGCCCCCGAGATCGTCCGCGGCGGCGAGGCCATCGGCTCCGTCTTCTCCGTCCTCGACCGCCCCACCAAAATCGACCCTGACGACCCGGAAACCGAGCAAATCTCGTCCATCCGCGGCGAAATCGAGCTTCGCCACGTGGACTTCGCGTACCCATCCCGGCCCGAAGTCGCGATCTTCAAAGACTTCAGCTTGCGGATTCGGGCGGGCCAGAGTCAGGCCCTAGTGGGCCCGAGCGGGTCGGGCAAGAGCACGGTTATATCTCTAATCGAGAGATTCTACGACCCGGTTGGCGGGAAAGTGATGATCGACGGGAAGGATTTAAAACGGGTTAATTTAAAATCGTTGAGGATGAGAATCGGGCTCGTTCAGCAAGAGCCCGTTTTGTTTTCCGGCAGCATTTTCGAGAATATCGCGTACGGGAAAGAAGGGGCGACGGAAGGGGAAGTGGTGGAGGCGGCGAGGGCGGCGAACGCGCACGTTTTTGTAACCGGGCTGCCGCGAGGGTACGATACGCAAGTGGGGGAGAAGGGAGTGCAGCTTTCGGGAGGGCAGAGGCAGAGGATAGCAATTGCGAGGGCGGTTTTGAAGAATCCGGCGATTTTGCTTTTGGACGAGGCGACGAGCGCGTTGGATGCGGAGTCGGAGCTGGTTTTGCAGGAGGCGCTGGAGAGGGTGATGAGGGGGAGGACGACGGTTGTAGTGGCGCACAGGCTGGCGACAGTGAGGGGGGTGGATAGTATAGGGGTGGTGCAGGAAGGGAGGATAGTCGAGCAAGGGACGCATGAATGGTGTTTGGTGGAGGGTGGTGAGGGTTTGTAGATATGTGGGGATGGTGAAGAAGGGATTGTTGTTGTTATGACTATGTTTTTTAGCAATGTGAATTGAAGAACAAGTGTGTAACTCCATTGATTCTTGGGTTTTTTAGCAAGCTTTGGTGCTTAATCATCTAATGTTTGTTGAAACCAAATCTTGTTTGCAACATGGTGCTTTGTGATGGTGAGATTGGCTATGGTCGTTAAGGATCGAGTTTGGCTCGGTTCGTTTGATAAAAAAGTTGAGTTCGAGCATAAACTCTTTTCGTTAACAAGTCAGGCGTGGCTCGGCTCGCCTCGATAAGATTTTTTTACATATTTTTTTATAACTTGGTTCATTAAAACTTGTTAAGGCTCGAGCTCGAGCTCGATTATAAGTTCGTTAATGCTCTACTCGATAAGACTCGAAAATTTAATTTTTTATCTAATATTTAATAGTTTGGATTGTGAAAGTTTTAACTCGGCTCGTTAATATTGATAAATGAGCTGAATTCGAGCTCGACTATATGCTCGGTAAAGGATCGAATTTGACTCAACTCGTTAACACTTCTACTTATGATTTAAAAATTCTTGTAGAAATGTGAACCATGCTCTAGAATATGCCAAGTTTTATATCATAATTGTTTATAAAACCTCAAAACACATACTTGTATTCTCAATTAATAGTCAGTTTAAGCTCACTAGCCAATTAATAGTCCAATACAATATATATTCTAGTTGCATTCTCAATTAAGCTTGACAGAAATTGGGGAAAATGGGTGCTGGCCCACTACCATGAAGGACACCATGAAAGAAAGAAAAAACCCATATGAAGCCCAAATGTGGTTCCATCCCAAAATCAATTGGTGGAAGGAGGAGTAGCCCATTAGTCTTATAAGATGGGTCTATTTTCCATATATGATGTGGGACAACTAACAAGTGATATTCTAACAAAGCTCACTAGCCACGATTCTCGTGAAATATATCATGTGATTTTTCGGTGGGACATTGATGGCCCTTTTTTTNCACTGAAAATTTAAGTCGTGCTTGATAAAGTTCTTTACGATTTCTGGAAAAAATTATCACCACTTTCTTGAGTTCATCTTTTTGGTCGACATGAACTATTGGGGACTTGCACAAGACATGTTGATTCGACCCATATGGCTTTGAACTATTTAAATAATATATGTCACAACATGGCCTGTGTAGCTGTTCACTGACATATTAAAATAAGTAAGCTTTACCTTATATAAATCTAATAGTTGGATATTGTTAGATTTTTTTTAAAAATAAATATACTTATTTCCGCGTTAATATCTATATATATATAATTACTAGCTAATAGCATTAAATAAAACCTATTTAATTTTACCTATGTGGCAATTTAATAATTTTCCCTCCAAAAACCGTTACATTTTGATGTATTTAATCTTTAATTTAATCATTAAATAATTAATACTCATCACTTCAAAATTACAAAAATCATTTTAAACTTTTGATTAATGACAGTTGACCATATAATGTGTTGACCGTATAATGTGATTAGATGTTATTATTGTTGTTACATTTAATTTTTTTTTTTAAATAAAAAATATATTTGAAATTCCTAAATAAATAATAAATAATCTATATATATATATATATATATAATTACTAGCTAATTGCATTTAATAAAACCTATTTAATTTTACCTATGTGGCAATTTAACAATTTTCCCTCTAAAAACCGTTACATTTTGATGTATTTAATCTTTCATTTATCATTAAATAATTAGTACTCATCACTTCAAAATTACAAAAATCATTTTAAACTTTTGATTAATGACATTTGACCATATAATGTGTTGACCGTATAATGTGATTAGATGTTATTATTGTTATTACATTTAATTATTTTTTTGAAAATAAAAAATATATTTGAAATTCCTAAATAAATAATAAATAATTCACAAATAAAAGACGTACCAAAATATACATTACATCCAATCAGATAAGCGCAATTTAAAAAAAAAATATTCCAACTCTTTTAATTGTAAATTTTGTCTGCAAAAAAGTGAAAGAAAAATAATTAATCATTATATGCATACAGACTCACAATAATTTATTTATATCTGTGCAAATGCACAGGTTGAATACTAGTATGTTTAAATATAATACAAACAATGTCTGCATGGTTGTTTTATAAAAAGTGAATTATATATCCAAAATTCGTATTTCAACTTTCAAGCTAGTTTCTACTTTTAACCCTAATTGCTTTTCCCATGTGAAACTCATTTTTTTTTTTTTTTATCAAGCAAAATAAATAAATAAATAAGTTTCATGCTTTTGATTTAATATGGAGATGACGCTTCAAAGTAGTGCCTACAGTGAAAACCTGCCATCATCATAATAATGAGTAATCCATATATTAAAAGTGAGTGGCAGTATATATTATTAATTCTTTTCCAAAAAGCTACAGACAATGTTGACAGGCATCCCAATTGAACTTAATTTATTAGTACACCTAAAAAAATGAAAATGAAAATGAAAATATTAATATTAATAAAGTGAAGGATGAAAAGAAAGTAAGATAAGTACTATTGCATGTGAGTGTACTTTGAAGTTTGAATGCCCAATTGCCCATCAGTTTTTAATTTATTTATTTTTTTCAAGAAAGAGAGAGAGACAGGAATCAATCAAGGAACTAGGGAAGACTAGCAGGTTTAAACAGTTCATTTTAAGTAAAAATAAGTTGTTTGCAAGAGATTGATTTATTATTATTATTATTATTATTATTATTTATGAGGTTCAGAAATAGGAGTGTCAAATCGTGTTATGGTATCATTATCCTAATTTATTTGATCATAGCTATGATACTAATTTTTTTTGTTTGATGCTTTTCAGTGTTTGATGTATGGAATTCCAAAAGAAGTTCTTGAACAAATGGGCTTGTAAATGAATTAAAAAAGATGGGGCCCAACTGGCCCACTAGAAATTTCTTGGGAAGCAAAAATAATTGGACTTTTATACTGTTTAGAGAGAAACTTTTACTGTGTTTAGTCCACGACTGTACTTTACTGGACTTGGTCCACAGCCTGTACAATTATAATTATATACATGAATACAGAAAAATGTACAGAATATAGTACATGATCCGTGCGAGGCACGGGATATATTTATTTGAGGAATACTATATTATAAGATGCAATATTCAATAAAAGTTTTATAATACGCAGGAAAATTATACAATAAGATAGTATTCGACAAACAAACAATCATATATTATTAAAGACCACCTTGTACACAACATTATGAGTTTGATTTTCCATACAATAATAATAAGATTTTTTGTAAAAAGATAAGAAGGAATTTTCAATCTACACAAACTTTATTAAATGTATTTACGTAAGTCAATGACTATATAGACAACTAAACCCTTCAATTTAGGCTTGATATCTACTTTATTTATGGTTGACGTAAAATAAGGATTTAATTTTGACCGATTAAATCTTTATTCATAGGTTTGACATATAAAACTGATTTGATGGGATTTTCTTTGACCGATTAAATCTTTATTCATAGGCTTGACATATAAAACTGATTTGATGGGATTTTCTTAACTAAACCGATGCTATGGGATAAAACAAATCTATACTTACCTTTGACTTTTACAGCAAAGGTAAAAAAATCGGTTCTGATTTTTATACCATAACAAATCTTTAATGTCAAGCCTATAAATACCAAAACAAATCTGTAATTAATATCATTCTATTTCCAGCAAACATTAATTACCTTTGACTTTTCTGCCTACTATTTCTAGTAAATATGATGACTTTTTATATAAGTATAGATTTCATATAATGCAAAGACTGAGATCATAAAAAAGAATCCTAAAAACTGAAACAATATATTTGCATAATTTAAGGCCATTAAGGAATCGATCTCTAAACCAGATTTGATTTTCAGAATATGTTTTTTCGTTTCGAATTCCATACAAAATGGAATTCTTTCCAACCAATAGATGTCATAGCAAATATTAACTCTTAACTATTAGACTATTAGTACATACCGAGCAAATTGTGTACTGATTTTAGAAAGTTAAAATGATTCATGTTAGGTAATTTTACATTTTATGCATGTTTAACGGTGGGTTTAAATATTGTTTCATAGAATGTAAAAGTGTGTTATATTATTTTTATGAGATGTTGAATTTAAAAATTAATAGAATTCTTCTTCATAGGAATTTTAAATGTAACAATATTCTTTGGTATACACTACTAACAAAATATATATTTAATGTTTATATTTTTTTTTTACCGAAAAAAATTCCTTAATTTAAGGAATCATATATCTTCAATCAGTCCACATATATATACATTCTTCACAATTTTAAATCTTGAATTTGATGAGAATTCGTATCTATGAGTGCAGAATATGGTTTAACAAATTAATTTTTTATTATTATTCCAGCCATACTTCTTTATACGATTTTTTGTGAAAATACAAAAGTAAATTCTTAATTTTAAATCAGTCGTACATTAAAGAGTACAAATTTGTTGAAATTACAAAAACTATTTTTACTTTTAAACAGACGTAAATTTAAATCAGTTATAAAAAGTAATATTTGTTTACCATTTAAATATTAAATCAGCCGTAATTAATGTTGTTTGTTTTAGTTGCCACGATTTTCTCCAAACTAAATTAACAACTGTCGTGATTTAAGGACAACATTTAATGCTGCTCTATTTTTAGGAGACATTAAATGTATTTGGCGGAAAAAACTTGCTAAAAGTGTTAAATGGTTAATCTTTTAATATAATGATAGATTGTATTATCACAAGCAAAAATACTTAGAGCATCTCCAACCATGCTTGTAAACCTGCAGGAAACGGCACAGGTGGAGGAAAAGCATCTCCAACGGGCTCTCTTCATTTGCCGGAAACGCCACGCTATGATTTGTGGAACGGTTTGGCAACCGTTCCACTGTTCACCCGCTTAAGTTTTTTATTTTTTATTTTTTATTTTTTTTTTTGGTTAAATATGAAATTGGGTTGGGCTTTTTCGTAAAGAATTTGTGATGATGGTTATATTTTTCCTCTGTATCTAGGAAATGAAGATGGAGAGGGCGACTCTGGTTTTCGTGAAATTTTTGTGATGGCAACTGTAATTGTGATGATGATTATTAAAATAAAAAGACTAGGTCTAGCATACATGCCAACCAATAGAAATGTTCTAATATATTTTATTCATTAAAAAAATAAATTAAATTAAGAACAAATGATGAGTGTTTGGGTTTGTACTTAGGTCCAAAATAGACCCAAGTGTGGACTTGGTCTCTTTTTTTCATTCCACATAAGCTAGACCATGTCCACTTTAAATTGCATTGGGAAGTATTTTTTTATAGACTAAGTCTATTTCCCATATGGCATTTGATTTTTTGTTAAGAGACCCAAAACATTGTGGGTGCTCTCAGAGTAAGTTATTGAAAACATAGACTCGAGATACGCTTTTTTTTTTTGGTTATACGAATTATTTTGAGCCCATTCAAATCCAGATTCATCTATCTTCTGGCCCAGTTTATGCTGTACTAATTATTAAAAAAACTAACATACACATGATAGGCCCTTTTTATTTGGGCTCATTATACCGCAGTTTGTAATGTACCTTCTGTGTGAATTTAATAATGTTGGCCCATAAACGATAAAACACAGATCTCAAGATCCCTCTATTGGGCTTCTATTAATAGCCTGTTTAGTACATCAATGACTTTGGGCTATATTACAAAGCCTAAACCCAGAGACCAAATCGGATTTTGTTTCTTGCATCCGATAATTTCATCAAAGGAAAATAGAAAGTAAACGATGAAAGAGCCACTTGGAGCTGACGTAGATTGAAATTTAAGCTTCAAGTTTGGGACAGTATTCTGAATCAATCACGTGTGTTCTTATAAATGTAGGCACAATGGGNGTTTTTTTAATTAACATTCCCAATATTTGAAAACTAATTATTTATATAAATATAATATTATTTGGAAATAATATTGGTATTATTTAGGTTTAGAAATATCATAAACAAGTCTAGCTACCCATTTCAATATGAAAATGTTAGGTAGTTATACTTTTTATTAAATATAAATTACTTTCTATGTAAATGTCATATATTAGAAAATAATTTGAGACGATAAAATGTCCGAGTTCACGATATAAATGCGAATGTTGGTTCATAAAATATGTTCGATCAATTTGCGAGAATAAAATGTCAGAGTTCACGATAATAATTTGAGACAATGAAATGTCAGACTGTCAGAGTTCACGATATAAATACGAATGTTGGTTCATAATATATGTTCGGTCAATTTTTTTTTTTTACTTTCTCATACTATAATTTGTGGTCGTATCTAAGGCTACAAACGAGTCAAGCCAAATCGAGCAAGATTGGTTTTCTTTTACCTACTCGAGCTCGATTTATGACGCTTGAGATCGACTCGACAAAAAAAGACAATCGCTCAAGCACGACCCGAGATCTACTGAAATCAAAATGCTTGAAAGATTGCTCGAGCTCGTCACGAGTTCGACTAAAATTTCAAGTTAAATTACCATTAAGTACATATATAAAATATTGTAATATTTATATAAGGGTATTTTAATAATTCGATTGATTTTGGTCATTGTTTTTGGGTCATCTTCACGGACACTTTCTAACGTCTTGTGAAGGGATTGCCCTTTTATTTTCTTCACTCACTGACCAACACTAAAATAGGCCACATATATAGTATGTAATTGGACCCACGCTAGACAGAATTGGGTAGTCAAATTCGTACGTTAGTAAAAAATAGTATTTCATGTGATGTAGAAAAAAGGGCATGCAAACATATGAAATAATATCTCAGTCAATAATATTATTGCCCTTCTTGTAATTTTATTATATTATCATCATATAGAATGTATATAGATAGCCAATTCAATAAGCGGATTTTCGTCTTGTTTGGCACTTTGCGAAAAGCTGATAACTAATTGCATTTTGAATTAATTAGCATACTACTACAACATGTTAGAAAAATATTTTTAAATTTTAAAATTAATGAGAAAAATTATTTTAAATTTTTATTTACTTTTTTGTAAAAAAATATATTATTATATATTTTATTTTTATACATATAACATGGATGTTAAATTGAAGCTCATCAAGAGACGATTAATTTTGATATATTATATTTGTAAACTGATAAAAAATACAAAAGTTATTAAATTTTTAAAATACATTTACAATTCAATGGTTATAATAAAAAATGATAT